AATATCTTATAAATATGAGGTGAAAAAAACATATGTAAAAAGTATTTTTTAAACTTGCATTTGGTTAATTTCAATTTTAAGATTGATAAAATAACTAGTCCATTTTTGCAAAATAACGTAGCGATTAAATTTCGGGGCAAATAAACGCAAATAATGTACCTTCGAATTGAAAAGCAATACTGCACTATCAAAAACAAACAACAAAAAACGTATGCCAATTATTACTCCAAGTTGATATTTAGTTTGGGTTCCGTTACAAAACAGCGTTTACATTAATATTATTTTAGAATTTAATCAATTCGTGTATTGTTTCATTGGAACACATGCCAGTTAATTTTGATATTCATAATTTGGCGGCTAATAAATTAAAACATTCCATTTGACTATTGGAAATATTCACTGCGGTTACCCAACTAGCTTATACAGGGGATATTCATTTAGCTCATTACTGTCTGTGGTTGGTCTAGTTCCATTATGTCTAGGCAGCTTATTCAATAATTGTGTAAATTAAGTACAGTTCTTGTTAACGGCTATGCAAGATATTTCGGTATCCGTTATATGGGGTGTCCGGTCAGTACGTGATCGAAAGGACACTGCAACATTTTTTGATTAAAAAGGGGACGATCTGACCCAAGTTTTAGTAAGAAAAAATGTCTGGCTTTTGTGTTATTGTTTTGCTATCGTTTGTGATATCGGAAAAGCGCTAGGTCAAGTCGTCTTCTTTGGATCCAAATAATCCTAAGTACTTTTTGATCATGTGCTTACGGAACACCCTGTATACATATATTTCAGCTGTTATAAAATTTAATTGGTTAATAGGAAAATATTCCTTTCAGGAGAATGCAGGTCAGCACTTGGAATGGAAGCAGGCAGAATTCCAGATCATGCAATATCAGCCAGCTCGTCTTATGAGACAAAGAGTGTTGGGCCTCAGAACGCAAGGTAGGATTTTTTATTTCTTAGTTATTTTGACGCCCAAAAAAGTTCAGTTCTGTAAAGTTGAAGGTTTAATGGCAACATATCTATATATATCTCGATTCCTTTCGACGTAAGAAGATCACAAATATGCATTTATAAAGCGGTTGGGTCAATAATAAGGAAGAAATCGTCGGCTAAAGATCGTGAAAAACGCTTTAAATGTGCCGAAAATGTATATTATTTCTGATTTAAAACTTTTAACATGTTTTTCAATGAGTTCGATGCATTCCTCGCGTCCATGAGATAAAGATGAAGTAAAATTTAAGACATTTTAACAAAATTTTTGCGTAATTTTTTGTAAATCGATTCCACCCTTAGAAAAATTTCGGCCAAAAATCTAAATTTCGCATGCACGTTTTTTGAGCTCAATCGGGGTAATACCAAAATTTGATTTTCAGCAGATTGATTGTGTGAATAAATTTATAAAAAATGTTGACCAATTCAATATTCGATATTGATTTGAAAATGATTCTCGAACAGTTTTGGCCTTAACAACTTTCGTATAATTCAAAATAATTTGCGATAGTCGTCCTATAAAATAAAGTGATTAGCAAGCAAAGAGCATTTCGCCAGAAAATGTCACTATAGCTTTCCAACATTTTGCTCTCAGAAAAGTGTATTGTTTCGAAAATGCGCACATTTGAACTGTTTCACTTTACAATTTTATTCGAATGCCTGGAATATTAGCATTAGAACAGCTATTTTCAGTAGCGTATTTGAGGCCACTTTTATTAGAATAATTTGAACATATACATTGAGTCGCTATTGAAAGTGATCACATTCCTTTTTATTGGTGAAAATATATTCACACTGAGACCTTTACATAACACAGTCGATCTTTAGTGAGAGAATGAAGCAAAAATGTTTTTTGTAGAAAAGCTTAAGTCTTTTTGTCACTGTTTCTGGACTTTCTGCAAGTAAAGTCGAGGTTCTCCATAACAAACGCGGCATCGATCACTTCGCTCGATTTTTCGAGTAGAATCGTGTACCGGGAAAGCTTTGCAATGACAACATGCCTTCGTCGGAATGCCTTTTTAGTTCGAGGGCTGCGTTTCCGGATTTTCCGCTATCAAATCCTTCGGAAAAGCCCGACCATGCCGTTAAAGCCATGTTAACGTTGCTCGCCGTCTTTGTCGTGGTTTTTCTTGGCATCCACACTGCACGGAATGCGATAGTGAACTTGTGACTTTCTTAAAACGTTTCTGTGGCCGTTTTGGGTTTTCCAAATGCTTTGAAGTGATTGATCAATATTTCCTTTTAAAGGTGTTCGGTTTTTTGCTAACTGAAAAGCACATCGGAGAGAAAGAATATGCAATCAAATCAGTTGGAAGTATTTTATTTTACGCCGGTATTATAAAATGTTGATACTATAGTTGGGAGAATATCTGTAAATAGGGAGTAATAATTGCCACAGTTTTTTCAAGAAAACTTATATAATTCCCAGTTTATTTGATGGACAAGCAAAATGAGAAGGCGCTAATATTGCTAGTTGATTAAGAACTAAATGAGAGGTTAACTTCTCAGTGACGCTGGGAAATCAAATGATCTCCCTAAAAATGTTGAATGATTTGTTCACATTCTCATTAAATAAATCCATGGAGAGGAAATACAACCGGATTCAAATATAGGAAGTCGGAACCAAAACCACTTCAAATTATCTGTTTTAGTGGATTCTTGTAGTTTTGTTGTATGCCTTCTATTGCGAAACGTAAAATTGAACGAAATAAAGCAGTTTTCCTAGCTAATTTAATTCACTATGAGAAGTCAAATTGTAACATGCGATCGAGAAACATAAAAACTTTGCTGCTTCCAGAAAGCGCCGTATGTGCGTAGTCGAAGGGGGATATGGAAGCCATGTAGAAACCAGGACACGTGAAAAATATAACGGTGAAACTACGCTTAAACTTCTACGTGATCCACTTGAATAATAAGTTTTTCATGTGAAACCGAAGCGCTTTTCTATATTAGCAGGGCGTTTGATGCGAGTACGCGAACGTCTGGAAAACATATTGCGTCCAACACCTTTTAAGTAAATGAATTTAATTTCCTAAATATTTCCAAGCTTGAATGAATCCATTGATTCACCCTCGAAACAATTTACAAATCGTTTAATGCCGTGTAAATCGACTGAGGCAGACATATGTACCCCATTACCCCTAGGTCCTGGCTGCAATAAAGCAGATGAAAAAACACTTTAAAAACATTAGCAATCACTTTGTCTAATGCGCCCCGAAAAGTGTGCTCGTGAATCCATGATATCCAGTCTAGCGTGTCGTCTAAATTACTCTAAAAAGTGTTGATTCCCGGTATTCGATCCCCTAAAGATCATTTGCTACTGTTCAGTGTTCAAACACCCTGATAGGCCATTTTTCACCCCTCTAAGACAAGTGTCGGACGACTTCTGTTTCTATTAATCTTTAGTCGAACCCGCTGCGACTATGGATGAAGTAAATTGGAAAATTGTTGGCCAACGTTGAAATGTTCCTGGGTTTTCCCTGAGTCATTGTTGTAAACCATAACGTTTACCAGAAGTGAATAAGCGATTCTACATGATTTATAATGTTAACACACCTATTATTTTATTTATGCAATTTCATTGTGAGACTTTCTAAGATTAGAGGATGGTAATTTTTGTACCGATTGGCGTTTGAAACAAAAAATCTGTGATTTTTGACTTGTGTTACTTATGAAGCGGATGTGCAATATATTTAAGTACTTACGTACATCTCTTGTAAAGTTGACGCCGGTAGTTTGTATACGAAGAATATTTTACTTACGTGCTTTACGCCTACTGAACAAAATCAGACGAAAAGTTCTACCAAGGTTCTCATCCACCAAGAACTGAGTATTTTAGGATATTGTTATGTATTTGCCTACTGTTAGAAGGCTTTAAAAATTAAGCTTTCATCGACAAGCCATGTTTCAACCTTTGATGTATCATATTGACCATTGGTTACTTTGTGAGTTAAGTGTAAATTATTTTTATTTTCTTAGTAGCTTTGGTTGAAAATGTGTTTAAAAAAACACTACATTTAGACCATAGAACGTGCCGAAGAAGTTAATGAATGGAAAACCCATCCACAATATATTGGTTTGAGTGTTAAAGACCCTCAAAAATAAATCTAAAGTTTCGTTCGTTTTTCAGAGTGGGCTGAATGGGCAATTCTCAACTAAGCCATTTCTGTCACTCTATATAGCTGATGTAGAACCGACTGTCCTTACCCATTTCTCCAGACTACAATCTAATCTCCAAATCTTTGCAATATTCGTTAGCTAATTAGGACACTTAGGATCCGTCTTTGTCATCCAAAATATGAATATACATATCCCATTCCCCAATTAAGAAATGCACATCGCCGATGGCAAGTCGTCGACGAAGACATCATTACCCGTTGAGGATGGCGTAATTTCGCGAGACTTGCCAACTTTCGAGGACGGCATGAGTGCTGCTGCAAAATAGAGACGGATTGAGTACTCCAACGTTCAATGCAAGGATTATGGAGCGAAGAATAGAGCATATGAGTTCCCATGGCTACGGCGAGTGCAGCTCGACTTCTTCGTGACTGATTTTATTCGCAACAACATCGATTGAGATTTTGTAATCACGAAACCTGATAAAATACCGTTTTTCAGGCGTCAATTTTTTTACTGGTTTCATATGTGTCTATGTATTCAAGGTGGTGTGAGTTTTTTGATGGATCATTTTATGGAGATAAATTTTTCCATCAATAATTTGAAAATTAAGATTAGATTACTGCGCGTGCACTTTTGCCATTTTCTGCGATATCTCAAAACTTCATTATCTCATTTTTTCCGATTTTGGTATAAGTAAATGTTAAGCATAATTGTCGATTATCAGGAAGAACTTTTCTTCGGTTTCTCGGGTCGTGTCGTTCGATTTTCGCTAATCTTGGAAACGCAGGAGTTTTGTTAATTTTTCTTCTCGTAAGCGTGTATTGTGTACGTATTCTTCACGATTCTTAAAAGGATTTTTACGAACGATTTGAACATTTTTTGATCATATTGCACTGAACACATTGGCGTTTTTTTAAATCGCAAAAGACTTCTTCATTATCAGGGCCGTTTTTTCAGTCAATTGTACTTTTCCCCATTTTCAAATTTTCATTGCGGCTTAACCGAATGGCTAAGTGCATTTTAAGCTTCTTTAACCAGTTGGTCAGGGGCGGATCCAGCTTTAAAGTCAGGGGGGGTTATGTAGAAAAAATACAGTCTTCTGTTATCTATGAAATTAGAAAAAT